GGAAGAATTTTCCAAGCAGAGGGAATAACAAGTAAAAGACTGCATGGCAGGAACATGCCTGGAATGTTCAGGACTGAGCAGAGTTCCTTGTAGCTGGAATGTAGTGTGTGACGGGTAGAGCAGAGGGGATGAGGGCAGACAGGTGGTGGTGGTGGGGGTGTGTAGATCATGTACGGCCCTTTTAGGTCAAGAGAACTTGGGTTGGATGGAGAAACTTTGGGTTGTTTTGCATGGAAAAGTAACATGATTCCACTTATGCTTTAGAAGGTTCAGTCTGGCTGCTGTTTTCAGACTAGACTGAAGTTGCAAGGAGATTGATTAGGAGGCTGTTGATGTTGGGTGATGGCAACTTGCATCAGGGTGGTAATGTGAGTTGTGGTTTGTTTTTAACAACAACATGGAGTCATGATTCTTAATGTTTTTGGTCTAAACAGCTGGAATGGAGTTAGCATTTCCTGAGATGGATAAGACTTTAGGAAAGGCAGGTTTAGAATGAGGGTGAATGAAGAGTATGTTTTTGGATATACTGAGCTTAGGGTACCTATTAAATATCTAAGAAGATGCAGATAAACAGATAGATGAGTCTGAGGTTCAGGGACTAGATATGTAACTTTGTGAGTCATAAGCTCAAAGGTAACATTTACAGCTGTGAAACTGGATCGGCTCATCTAGGGAATGGTTTAGGTGGAGAAGAGGTCTGAGGCATGCCAGCCATAGGGGTAGAAAACTTCCCTTGACCCTCTTCCTGGGTGGGCATGAAAATTAAATTTACAAAGACCGATTAACAGGAGAAACACATACCCATCTTCTCAGTGTAAGTTTTCTGTGACATAGAAGCCTTCATAAGGAAATGAAGACCCAAAGAAACAGACCTGAGTACTTTTGGGTTGGTGAAGGTGGACAGCATGGAGGAGCATGGGAGGCTGGGGAGTATGAGGTAAGTTGAGGAAACTGGGAAAACAGCACAGTGTGTTTTTGTTCAGATTCTTTTCGGACTCCCTTCACCTTCTGAAGTAAGGACGCTCCTTTCCTCAGGGTGCAGGGAGGGCACCTCTCAGGAGTGTGGGGGTGGGGTGTCAGAGTGACCTTTCTGCTTCTACTGTTTTCTCAAACTCCTTCAGGTCAAAATACCCAATATGCCAAGGTGCCATGTTTTGGGGGTAGCATGTCCTGAATCCCACAGATTAGGAAAATGAAGCACCAGCAAAGGTGAATGAGTGAGGAAGAGGAGTGGCCAGTGGGAGAACCATGAAGGGGTGGTGTCCTGGCTGGTGAGTGAAGGTGCTGTGGGATAAAGAGATACTGAGCCACTGGGTCAGTAAAATGAGGACAAAGAATGACCATTGGATTTAACAACATGCAAGTTACTAGTGATCTTTTTTAAAATGGTTTTGATGCATGGGGATGAAAACCTGATAAGAAAGGGGTCAAGAGAGAACGGAAGGAGATGTGAAGACAGCAGATGAAAATAAAACAGCAAAAAGCTCTTGGGTAAATTTTGTGTAAAGGGAGCAGAGAAATGGAGTAGTCAGAGGAAGACGTGAAGTCAAGGGGAGGTTTTGTTTGCTTGTTCTTTCTTTTTTTAAATTTTTTTATTAAGGTATGATTGATATACACTCTTATGAAGGTTTCACATGAAAAAACAATGTGGTTACTGCATTCAGCTATATTATCAAGTCCCCACCCATACCCCAATGCAGTCACTATCCATCAGTGCAGCAAGATGCCACAGATTCACTATGTGCCTTCTCTGTGCTACGCTGTTTTCTCCGTGACCCCCCACACCATGTGTACTAAACATAATATGCCTCAATCCCCTTCTCCCTCCCTTCCCACCCGCCCTCCCCTACCCCTCCCCTTTGGTAACCACTAGTTCCTTCTTGGAGTCTCTGAGTCTGCTGCCATTTTGTTCCTTCAGTTTTGCCTCATTGTTATACTCCACAAATGAGGGAAATCATTTGGCATTTGTCTTTCTCCGCCTGGCTTATTTCACTGAGCATAATGTCCTCCAGCTCCATCCATGTTGTTGCAAATGGTAGGATCAGTTCTTTCTTATGGCTGAATAGTATTCCATTGTGTATATGTACCATATCTTCTTTATCCATTCATCTACAGATGGACATTTAGGTTGCTTCCATATCTTGGCTATTGTAAAAAGTGCTACGATGAACATAGGGCTACATATGTCTTTTTGAATCTGAGAAGTTGTATTCTTTGGGTATATTCCAAGAAGTGGGATTCTGGGGTCAAATGGTATATCTATTTTTAGTTCTTTGAGGAGCCTCCATATTGCTTTCCACAATGGTTGAACTAGCTTACATTCCCCTTTGTATGTGATCTTATTTCTCTCTGGGCTGCTTTTAATAGTCTGTCCTTATCCTTGATCTTTGCCATTTTAATTACTATATGTCTTGGTGTTGTCTTCCTTGGGTCCCTTGTGTTGGGAGATCTGTGCATCTCCATGGCCTGAGAGACTATCTCCTTCCCCAAATTGGGGAAGTTTTCAGCAATTACCTCCTCAAAGACACTTTCTATCCCTTTCTTTCTCTCTTCTTCTGTCCCCTATAATGCGAATATTGTTCTGTTTGGATTGATCACACAGTTCTGTCAATATTCTTTCATTCTTAGAGATTCTTTTTTCTCTCTGTGCCTCAGTTTCTTTGTATTCCTCTTCTCTAGTTTCTATTTCATTTATCGTCTCTTCCACTGTTTCCAATCTGCTTTTAATACCCTCCATTGTGCTCTTCAATGATTGGATCTCTGACCTGAATTCATTCCTGAGTTCTTGAATATCTTTCTGTACCTCCATTATCATGTTAATGATTTTTATTTTGATGTCATGAGGTCCATGTCATCTTTCTCAGGAGTTATATTAATTTTACTCTGGACCAGGTTCCTTTGGTGTTTCATATTTGTATATGGTGCCCTCTAATGCCCAGAAGCTCTACTCTCTGGAGCTGCTCAGCCCCTGAAGCAGTGTTGGGGGTCGCAGGGGAGTGGTGTTGGTGCCTGGGGGGAGGAAGGAGCTGTTTCCTGCTTCCCGGCTGCTATGCCTGTCTCCATTGCCTGAACCAGTGGGCCTAGCACACAGGTATAAGCCTCTGTGCTTTGCGTTTGTAGTTGCTGTAGACAGATCTTCCCTCTGGTTTGCCTAAAGCAAGGGTAGGGTTTGCCGGTTTGTGAGCCATGTGGGACTGGCCGGGAGAAAGGCGCAGTAGGCTGTGTATTGTGGAGGGGGTCCTTGGAGCTGTGTAGCCAGCCAGGGAGCTGGAGCACCTGGAAATCATGAAAGCTCCCAACCTGCTGTGCAGAGTGCATCTGGACAATTTTGTCTACCTGTCCTTTCTCCTGAGCAGTAAGCTCTGTGAAATCCTTGCCCCTTTAGCAACCTTCTTGCTAAGGGCTTCCTTGTTAGGAAGTCTCTCAGAATGCCCGCCTTTCTTTTGTCCCAGAGCAGCCAGATATGGATCTCTGCTTTCCACAAGCAGCTGGAATCTCAGTCTCTCCAGGCATTCTGCCTGTCTTAGCTTTCCAATTCCCTAATCACGAGAGTATCATGAAAGCACCATGAAATGCAGGTTTGTGCTCACAGTGCAGATCTCCAGAGTTAGGTATTCAGCAGTCCCAGGCCTCCACTCCCTCCCTGCTCCATTTCTCTTCCTCCAGCTTGTGAGCTGGGGTGGATGAAGCACTTGGGTCCCACCGGGCCACAGCTTTGGTACGTTACCCTGTTTCGTGAGGTCTGCTCTTTTCTCCAGCTGTATGCAGTCTGGCACAGCCCTCTTTCCTGTTGCTCTTTCAGGATTAGTTGTATTAATTATATTTTTGTATTGTATGCGGTTTTAGGAGGAAGCCTCTGTCTCACTTCTCATGCCGCCATCTTAATCCTCTTGCTTGTTTGTTTTTAAGACAAGGAGATATTAGGCATCATGGCTGTATGCTACTGGAAATGATCCACTTTGTATAAAGAGGGGCAGATTTCAAGTTCAACTTCAGCAGAGCTTATTCCCCACCTGGCTTGGGGTCTTAGGGCATGCATCTCTCCTAAGCAGTCCTAAACCCAGGACTAATTTTCATGTTAATTTTTCAACTCGAGGCTTCCTACACCAAGCAGGTAAAATAAATTCGGACTCCAGAACCTCATAAGGCACAATCTTGGGTTTGATATCTCACCTAGGGACTTTTTTTTCCCAACAAAGAGCCTTCAAAGACAAACTTTCTTAGCTTTTTTCTGGGACTTATGAGCAAGTTTCCTAGTCCTTTTTCATTAAGGCTGTGGTCCTTAGAGAGTTCCAACTTCTGTTAGTGATAAAGACCAGAACCCATATTGCTGCTCTGGGCTGTTCCCTTTTCAGTGCTGGCATCTAGGGATTTCTTACACTTTCCTGCAAGCCCAGCCATATACTTAAAAAGTTTTGGTTATACTTTAGCCAGCATCTCTAGAGACTTGTGGCAGTAAAGTTTCAGCACTTTCTAGACCATCATTTTCTGGAATCAGAAATCTTCTCCCTTGATTCTGTTGATTTGTAATCACCTAGTCAATTCCTGGTCATTTTTGAGGTCTCAGTTTAAATATCACCTCTCAAAGAGGTACTCCCTAACCCTCTCTGTCCCAGTCTAATTTACACTATTATGCTGCTCATAGCACCCTCTTTCTGTCTTAGCACTTGTCATTAATAACTTCATACGAGCACTTATTTAATGCCTGATACCCTCTCGAGATTGAAAACTACATTAAGGCAAGAATCAAGAATCAAGGGTGGCATACAGCAGGTGGCCTGACATGCAATAAAGCTGAGTGATGGAGACAGAGAATTGTCTACACATCTAATAATTAACAGTGCTGTGTTAAATGATGTCCAGAAATCTGTTATCTTCTATGTCTTGGAGACCATATTCTCTAAGAAGAAAAAGTTTTTAATGGATCGTTATTTTAGTTGGCTCATCTTAGAAAAACAGCATTATTTCGTTTTGGTAACCACATGTCCTTTCCTCTTTAGGATGGAGATCTCTTCTCATCAGTCTCACCTCCTGCAACAATTGAATGAGCAGCGCCGGCAAGATGTCTTTTGTGATTGCAGTATTCTAGTTGAAGGGAAGGTCTTCAAAGCGCATCGAAATGTGTTGTTTGCTAGTAGTGGCTATTTTAAAATGCTTCTTTCTCAGAATTCAAAGGAGACAAGTCAGCCAACCACAGCTACTTTTCAGGCTTTCTCCCCAGACACGTTTACAGTTATCCTGGACTTCGTCTATTCTGGCAAACTGTCTCTTACTGGGCAGAATGTCATAGAAGTGATGTCAGCTGCTAGCTTCCTTCAGATGACTGATGTGATTAGTGTCTGTAAGACCTTTATTAAATCTTCATTAGACATCAGTGAGAAAGAAAAAGATCGCTATTTCAGTCTCTCTGATAAAGATGCCAGTTCTAATGGCATAGAACGTTCCTCTTTTTATGGCGGTGGCTGGCAAGAAGAAAGCAGTTCTCCACATTCCCACCTAAGCCCAGAGCAAGGGACAGGTGTAAGTGGGAAATCCTGGAGTAAGTATAATTACCATTCAGCCTCCCAAAGGAATACTCAGCAGCCTTTGGCCAAGCATGAACAAAGGAAAGATTCCATTAAAAAGTCCAAACATTTGAGGTTGTCCCAGCCTTCTGAAGTTGCCCATTATAAGTCAAGCAAACGAGAAGCACGGACATCTGATTCTTCCAGCCACATTTCCCAGTCTGAAGAACAAGCACAAATTGGTGCTGAAATAGACTCTACTCCTATTGGCTATCCGTATGGTCAAGGATCTGATGTCACCTCCAGAAGTTTCCCAGGTACCCAAAAAGAATCATTCCCATTGCTGGGTTCTGGGACTGCCTTCATTAATCAGTCCTATCTCAATATACCCTTACTTTTTGGTGTTGTAGACAGTTGAACCAAGTGAGTTTTATTTTTTGTCATACTTCTATAATGAAATTTGTTTTACAAAACATAATTTTTTCAAAATTAATTTAAAATAATATTGGATAAATTTAATAACAGTCAAAACAATAAGAGTTCTGAGGTTCAAAAGCCATGATTTTCCAAACTTGTACCTGTGGGTAATTAGATTACTGTTAAATGTTTAAAGCTCTTTTTAAATGGTTCAATCCCTAAGACACATATTTTCACCTTAGTTTTTTTTTTTCTGAATGTTCACTCAGAAAGAATATTTTTATACCGAAAAGTTAAACAGAGCAACCATGCATATTTGCAGTTTCACACCCAAGAGCTAAAAAGAAATTAGACTATATCCAATAAAAAGATAATTTATAAATAAACATAACTTTTTTAAAAAGTGGGGTTTTCCCATCTCCCCTAGGTCTTATTCAGTTCAGTCAGATGTTTCCTATATAAATGTTTTGTTCTGCCTGTTCATTTTGGTGGGTGGCCTTTCCTCCCAGCCGTCACCCATCACCCTCTCTAGTCTTCCCTGGCCTCTCTCCCCTGGGAGCAGCCAGGGTGGGGTCTCTGAGTCTTCCCTCTTCTCTCCTTTTTTTCTGTTGGTTGTCACTCCAGCTGGCTGTATTGCTTTTAAATATTGCACCAAAGGTTTTTTAAATAAAATAAAATGCAAAAAAGAACAAACAGAAACAATTAACACACACCCTGTAACACTGATGTAATTTTATGTGCAAAAACTATGAGACATCTCATTTTTATGATAGTAGTAAAATGCAGAAAGATGTTGTAGGTTGATAGTTTCAAATAACCCCTCCTCTTCTTAAGACTGAAGTAGAGAACAGGGATTAGAAGTCATGCCATCAAGTTTGCCCCACTTAGCAAATTTACGTAATAGTTTACATGTGAATTTAAAGGAAATTATGATAAAATGAAACTCGCTCAGGTTACACGATTTGGATTATATATTTAAAATTTTTTATTTTAGAAAATTTTCAAACATACACAAAAGTAAAGAGAAAAGTATAATTAACCTCCATGTACCTAATCATTATCCAGGCCTAACAACTCTGAACTCATGACCAATCTTGTTTCATCTATACCTCTACTTCTGACCCTCCCTTTATTATTTTTAAGCAACTTTCAGACATCATAGGTTTTATGTGTAAATATTTCAACATGTGTCCGTAAAAGATATTCTTTAACAAAAAAGTCCACTACAATAGCAAAATCATACCTAAACAAAATGAACAATTCCTTAATATCCACTAAATAACCGGTCAGTATTCACATTTCCCTGGTTGTTGTGTAAATTTTTTTAATTGAAGTATAGTTGATAGTGTCATATAAATTTTTTTAAATAGTGTGATTATAGATAACACATTTTAAAATAATAGGCAACCTGATTAATCTTTACTAATCATATTTTTCTATCCGATACTAACTGAAAGTACATGAAATTATATTGTATTATAGAGCTTTCTGAAAGTCCTTTTGAACTCTGACTGTTGACCAGGACATACAGAAATAGCAGCAAAATGGTGGGGGGGTAGAGGGGCACAGTAATTTGCAATCATAATGTAAGTCGGTCACCTGGATGGTAGTACTGCCTGGAGAATATAGTCAGTGATTCTGTAACATTTTTTTACGTTGACAGATAGTAACTGCACTAGAGGGGGTGAGAATTTGATAATATGGGTAACTGTTGAACCACTGTGTTGTGTATTTGAAACCAATATAAGATTGTATATCAACAATACTTCAATTAAAAGAAAAAAACAGCAAAAATGGGAAATCTTCATTGTATTTTAAAACAGTAAAAAAGTGATCTTTTGTTTATTTGGGCATTGCACTTTTATAATTCTAGGTTATTTTAAAACTAACTTTAATACTGAACAGTTTAATTTAATAGATGTTAAATTGATAAAGTTTGCTTCCAGTCACAGCTAACATTTTGAGTACGTTTTAAAACAAAAAATTAAAGATTCTTCACATTTTTTTCACATTTAAAAGAAAAATATTAAACGTGCATGCAAAGTAAAGGCAAGGGGATAAAAATATGTAAATACAGCAACTTACTTAAAAGCTTTAACTGGACTTTTACTTTTGGATTGTATATAGTTTTAAAATCCAATACTGTACATTAAATAAAAAGATAAGCATGGCAGTCCAGATTTACCCAGACTTGTACATATATCAAATACTGAAGTTATAGTTTTATTCTTAGTGTTAATTGATAATCTAGTTTTAATAAAACTCCTTTCTGCTGCTTTTTTTCTACCTTTCCAAGATTGGACTCACCAACTCCTTTTGGATTCTGTATGTTAATAAAATTATTTTTATGAACTTCCCAGTGATGTAATCAATCACTGTCCTTAATCACACTATCTCCTGACAGATGATCTGCCTAGGATGCGATTCAAATGCCCATACTGCACACACGTGGTGAAGCGGAAAGCAGACCTCAAGCGCCATCTTCGTTGTCACACAGGAGAAAGGCCCTATCCATGTCAAGCTTGTGGGAAAAGATTTAGCAGGCTAGACCATCTAAGTAGCCATTTTCGAACAGTATGTATATGATTTTTCATCATCTTCATAAGAAATATGCACATTTATCTGCTTTAAGATGATCTAATTTACTGAGAAATCTTTTTACACAACTCTACCATGTTAAAAAAAATTTTCCAACTTAATGTGCTTATTTTGCACATAATGCATAATTTTACAAATATTTATTTATTTATTTATTTATTTATTTATTTTTAATTAGCCCTTGGAGGCCTTAAAGTAAGAGATATGCTTTTGGATATCCATTTTAGTTAACTTAAAATCAAATATATTTTTATATACTCGTCTTTTCAGAGCCATAAACAATATAAACTAAAAATGTTTCAGATGTCTAGGTCAGCATCACCACTTGAGATACTCCACATCTTGAATCCATATCTGGTAGGATCTCAGCCTAGTTTCTGCTGTCTGACCTCTCTCCTCTGTACACCCTCTAGTCTCTGTTTCTCTAGTTTCCTGAAGTAAGGGAGCAAGGTGGACAATAGAACCATTCCCAGTAGGGGAATAGACTGTCCACAGTCAGAAAAATCTCAGGGAATTGACAGTTCAGTGCTCTGGTGGTTTAATAAGGTAAATGGCATTGGAATTATGCTGCTGTTCCTCTAGCAGGAAGAATTTTTCCTAAAATCTGTGTTTCTTTTTAGGAAAACCAAAAACTACTAATACTTACAATTACTTATACAAGCTCCTTTTAATTTTCAAGGACATTGGGTCCCTTAAGGTGATTTCTTCATGCATTGCTTTATAATTAGTTATTCAACAAATGTATGTTGAACACCTGTGGGTCAGCCCCTTTCTAAGTGCTAGGTATACAGCAGTGAACAAAACACAAAATTCTTGCCTTCATTAATCTCATGAAGCTAGATTTTTTAAGTAAGAAATTTTTTATTGAAAAAACAATACACATACATTATAAAAAATAAAAATAAAATACCCTATTTTTACCACCCTGATATTACTCTTCTTAATTCTTTATCACATGCATATATATGGTTACACTGTTTTTAACCAAATTAGATCATACTGTACATGCTATTTTGTAACCTTTCTTTAGTAAATTATTTCTAACTTTCCATCTCAATAAAATTTTATCTAACATCCAATACAATTTTAAGTTTCCCAGTAGTCCTCCAAATACCTTTTATAGCTGGTTTGTCCAAACAGAAACCAATCCAGGACTGTGTATCCATTTTACTGTTAAGTCCCTTAAATATGTTTTGAAGCTATCACAGTCCTCCCTGCCCTTCCCTCACTGACTTTCTGAAGATATCAAATCAATTGTTTTACAAAATATTCTACCTCTGGATTTCTCTCCTTGCTCCTGCATAGTATTATTTAGCTTCTTCCTCTATCCCTTATCCATTTTCTATAAACTAGAAGTTTTATATAAAACTTTTGGCTTAATGGATTTAAGTTAATACTTTTAGATAGAATGAATACATCAAGAATAAAATTATTTACTTCATATTGTGTCATATTAGGAGACACATAATACCTGCTGGACCCATCATTCATATTGTTAAGATTGATCACTGGATTAGGGTGATGATACTGTATTACCACCATTGTATGGTTAAAGGTGTATGCCTTGTGATTAGGAAGGAATCTGTGTGGAACTATTTTGATGTTGTAACACTATCCATTTCCCCATCAACCATTCATTTAATGGTATTAACTATTTTGATGTTGTACCACTATCCATTTCCCCATCAACCATTCATTTAATGTATTAACATCAGTTGATAGAGTCTGTTCAAATTATTAATGTAACTTGGAGTTATAGAAAGATGTATTAATTTTAACATTCCTTCTACATTATTAGCTGGAATTCTATAAAGTAAAGCTTTTCCTCATTACTAGGGACTATTTGGTTACTTTGAAATACAGTTCCTACAGGAGAAGCAGGATAAATAATTCATTCTTTCCCTTTAATTACCAATTTTAAAAGCAAAGAGTTGATTTAATAGTAGCCTCAAATAATACCGAGTTTTTCCTGGCATTGTTTTCTTAAACAGCATATGGTCTCATGAATTTTCATTGGTTCATTGTGTTTGGGTGTACAATTACTACTCTTTTTGATATTCAAATTTTAACAGTTTTGTCCAGTGGGGACAACTTGATTCTGGCTCTTGTGTCCTTTTGTTGTAACTCCATTAAATTTTTGAAGTGTCCTGCTTCTCTGGCCCCAAAAGAGCCTTAGGCTTACCTTGTATTTTCTCTGCCACAAAACTGTAATCAGCCATTTCTCAAAGAAGCCTTTTGGTGGGGAATGAAGTTAGAGACCAAAATTTGGACACCTAGGATACTCACTGTTATTAGGTTATCATTCCTTTTAGACTGTTTCAGTGGACAGAACTAGAATATATATATTTTTAAAAATGAATTCATGATGATATTTTTCTATTCTAACATTATGGTGTTTTACTTAATTTCTTTGACTTCATTATTGTGTTGGAATTGAGGGAGATGAAAATGAATCTGTGTCAGAACTTTGTAACAAAACAATACCAGATATGATACCCATAATAATATCTCAGGAGAAGTAAGGGTACACTCAAATTATTTACTTTGAATATTTACTGATTAATATGTCAATGTTTAAGCAGAAGATAACTTTTGAGTGGTAGGCCCATATATTTGAAAAAAATTTTTACCAGACTGCATTAAATTTTGTGTTTGATGGTCTACTTCCATACTGATCTGACTTTATCTAAATGAATACACCATAAAAATTAATTCAGTATTATACAATTATTGTAATTAATTTTTAGATTAGAACCCATAATCTGCTCTGACAATGATTGAACAAAATCATTTATTACTAACTATAATTATTCATTAATTACAACTTTTTCCCAAAGCATTTCATACATACTAACTCATTTGATCCTTAACAACCCGAATTGTAATAATGAAGTAGGTAGGGATAATAATAGGCTGCTACATAGCAGAGCCACTGTGGTGGTGTAATGACCAGTGTCTATTCTGATTAGTCAGGTTTCTAGTCTTTTTGGGTAATGTCCTTACCTTAGTAGTTGTTAAATATTTTGACTGTCACCCTAGAAACAGGTTTATATTGTTCTAAATTACTTGCTTCAAGGTACATAGTTAGTAAATAACAAAACCAGGACTAGAACAAAAGGACTTTGATTTCCTAGTTCAGTCCTCTTTCTACCAAATCTTTCATTAATAAAAGTGGCAAGGAATCCTTATATCCAAAAATAATTTTTGATAAATTTATAATTGGGACAATGTATTTTCTCTAGCAAAATAAAAAAAATTAATACTCACATGAAACAAGAGGTTTTTTTCCCCAAAAATTAAGGTATGAAAAGTCCTTAGAATAGTACATGGCATATATTGTTTGCATTTTATTACACTGGAAAGGTGGTGTCCCTTATTACTACCTCAGATATCAAAATAGTATTGGATTAAGGGATATGTGAAATCATTTAGTATATATTAATCATGAAAACATAGCCATTATTTAGAGAAAAGTGGTGTTTAATATTTCTCTGATATCAATTTATCACCAAAACCTGTGATCTTTTACTAATAACTAGGTGTTAATTTAATATTAATGCTTGGCTTTGGACATCTTAAGTATATGAATTGGTACCTAGAATATCAAACTGTCCTGCTTTTGAAAAATCTTTTTTTATCACTATTTAAATCTCTACACAGATTCACCAGGCATGCAAACTTATCTGCAGAAAATGCAAACGCCATGTGACTGATCTAACAGGGCAAGTGGTACAGGAAGGAACCAGGCGCTACAGACTCTGTAATGAGTGCCTTGCTGAAGTTGGCATAGACAGCCTCCCCATTGATTTGGAAGCTGAACAGCATCTTATGTCCCCTTCAGATGGAGACAAGGATTCCAGATGGCACTTGAGTGAAGATGAGAATAGATCGTATGTGGAGATTGTAGAGGATGGGTCTGCTGATCTGGTCATACAACAGGTTGATGATAGTGAAGAAGAAGAAGAAGAAAAAGAAATAAAGCCCAACATTAGGTAGCTGTAATGTGGACCACTAAAGCTGGAATGTCTGCAACTTAGATTGACTTCCTGTATCTCTCTCTTTCCGTGGTCAGAGACAAATTTATCAGACTGACTGAAAAGTAATGACCTGATACAACTTGCATGCTTTCTGATTAGGCCATTGTATCTGCTCTGAACTTTGTTGCCCTGAAATGTGTTGCTGCGCTGTAAGAAAGATGTAGCTGGAGTTGGCATGATAGCTAAACAAGTCATCTTTAATAAATTTATTAAGGAGATACCTTTTTTCTTTTAATATTGGAAATTCTGCTTAGCCAAGTTTTTTCAAAGGAAATATTTTAAATAAGTTTACCACAACCAAACTTTATGTTTAAGATAATTTCAAGGTGTTTCAAAAACATATAAACTACCAATATTGAATTTTCACAGAGAACCAGGTAAGAGCACATTTAAGGCTCTGGCATCCTAAGTGACTGAAGTCTTTCTATGAACTTGGGATCTATAACAACCTATCGTTATTCCAGTATCTTAAATGTTTTAGGACTATGGCAGAACACAAATCTAAAATATTTGAAATCATCATATTTGAATTTTTGTCATTAAGTTGAAAATTACTCCTATGTAGTCAGTGTTGTTCAGCAAAAACAAAAACCTAAAGTAGAGGCTGACCAGAGATTATATACAGATATCATTTTCTTAAAGTAGGGAACCTAATACTGCTTTAAGGTCAAGGTAGTTTGCAAAGATCTGTCAGTATGGTTCTTTTCTTCCCTAAAGAAAAAAAATTTTTTTAAACCAAGAAAACTGGAGGTTCTTACCAGTTCCTATGATTAATTTCTAACATTTTACTGTACTGCTGTATTATTTATAAAGTGCTCTCTTACATATTTTCTCATTTAATCGGCAAGGTAAATATTATTGTCTCTGATTTACAAATGAGGAAGTTAGGGTCAGAAAAGTTAAGTGGTGGGACTGGTGACTGGACAAGTTTTTATTTTAGACAGTCCTCTTTCGACTATCTCCATGTATTGTCTCCTGAAATGGCAAAGAATGGAAGTCAAACCTCACCAATCTGTAGTAATTAAAAAAAGAAGCCTAACAGAATTAGAAAGTATGAAAGAAGAATTTCATCATCTTCAACATACATCTTGAACTAGAGTTATTCAAATAGTACTAAGTGATGTCTCTATGGTATCTATTGATATGATTTTATGAGTTATTTATATGTAAATTTTACATATAAAACTATTTGAACAAGTTATTCTCTTACATGCTTTAAACATTTTTACTTTATATAGTTTTTCAAAACAAACATTTCTCCTAGGCTACAAAGTTAAGTTTAAACTCCTTCCCTATAATGAACTATGAAACATTCCAAAATTACAGTTAAATTGGGGAAGCATTGTTGAGTTCTAAAAATAAAATCTAAATACCAGAATAACTGACCTTCATGAAGGTCTCTGTGAGTTATCACAATGAAGCTTGATATACTTTAATTTTGGTAGAGGCACCATGTATATTATATTGTATTTTTAAATGCCATGATTTACCTCAGATAATATTTTTTATGTTATTTTCTCTTATTCTTTAATGGTTGTCCTTGATACCCATTAATGGGCTAAAATGGCTAATTTCTAAAAACAAAAATTATAAATAGATGAATAACCACTGTGTTTTTTGGTACTTAATTCTGAGACTTTGTAAAGATTGCCCTGATGGTTAATATCCAGTTGCTTCAAGACTGGATGGTGTGCACTGAATTTATTGTTCTCCCAACATGACTGTTCCTGACTCATGAGTCCTGACAAATTAACTTGTATTCAAATGAGAAAGAACATGTCATTCTGTAGTCACACCAGATGATGTGACTTATAAAATTATTTAAAAGATGCATCTTTTAAAATTATTACCTGATTTTTAGTTGTTGGAGCCAGTAGGAAAAATGACTGGAGCTTTATTCATAGAAATGAAGTAGTGCTTGCATGTGTATACTCTAACAACACACTTTAGTCTGTGATCTAAATGTTCTTTTATGCTACTGTCTTCTGCATGCAAACTTTACATTCATCAGCATGAAAGTCAGCAAAGTTCACTGAACACAGTGCCACCAGCACTTGTAAAGCCTTATCAGAAGTAACGCTTCTCATCAGTTTATAACAAGAATCAAGCAATACCCACAAGACAACTATCATGTTCACCAAACTAGATGGCACATCTATCATTTCCATGTCATAAAAGAAGAACATTCCTGACATGTTTGTAAGCTGTAAATAATGACTTCGGTTGTCATGTCATCTATGTCTAAGACATTAGACACTAGTTCTTTTCCTAGAGTAAAACTTGTCTATTAATGGTTTCTGCGAAAACTGAATTCTTTGGCTTTTAAATGTGGGAAAATGTTACATAGGGGTATAATCAATCTGTTAATATAAGCTTTACTTATGCCAAGGAATTTTTTTTTTTTACTATTAGGAAAATAGCGGGAGTTGGTTAGACCAAAGTTTGCTCTTGCAGTAATGCTGTTTTGTTCTGAAGACCCTTCTAACTGTATGGTCCTCAAGAATGTCTGGTTGATGGGATGAAGTTTTGCAAAAAAGGACTACTACAGTCATGCCTAGTGTCTGGAGAAAGCAAAATTGACTAGACAAGTGGTTTAGAAGATATTTTTTTTTAACCAAGAAACCCTTTTGTCAAATGAATGTTTCATAGAGAAGCTCAACATTTAAGGGAGAAATGCTAAAATCAGAGCTGCTCTGGCTAAAGGCCCTACGAGCCTTTCACTAGACACCTCTGCTGGAGAACAGCATAAAAACCTTGGAACTCGCTAATGTTTTGAATTCCCTTGAGCACTGCAGTCTTCATTACTCCTATTACTCCCTGTGTTTATAAGCCAGTAACTGTAGTCTCTTAGTATAGAGTCTCAGATCACATCCTTAGTATACAGTGTTCCTTCTATATTTATTGTTTCTTAAGACTTTTCAAGAATAAAATTTTCAATATTGTATTTTTTGAGTAATGAAATCAAAACAAACATAGTTAACTGCTAATTTTTATGTGGCCAAGTTACTGCTTAATGGATGAAAAAAGTTTGGTGTTTCAATCACTTATGGGCTCAGAACTTCTCATTAAAGATATTTTGCCAAGTCATGGTAAAATATTGTCAAATTTCCACTCATACTGGGTTTCTTAATATATATTTTAAGTCCTAAAATTAATATGATGGAAAATGACTAAAACAGTACAGGCATAAGACATTGTTTAACTGGGAAGGGTGATAACAATAGGTACTGGAGGACCAAATTTTCAACTTTAAATGGAAAGTTCTATGTTATTTTATATTAGAGTGGATCAGTATTACTATTTATCATTTTATATTTGTAAAGTATTTAATAATGTTATTCCTTACATATCAATGAAATAAGACAGTTATCCACATGAAAGTTAAAAAAATTGAGGCACATCACAGTAAAGCAACCTACCAACGACAACCCAGTGAAACAATGGCAAAAATAGGAACAAGAATGATCAGATTTCTTGAATCCTAGAATATCAACTGAATTCACTGATATGTGTTGTGTATTACTCTATTTTATAAGATGACTTGATACAAATAAGTCAATTGTTTGTAAAGGTGGCATCATTGTATGTGGATAAATCCTATATAGAATAAATATGTAAAGGATGTGACTTTAGTTACAAGAGTTTCAATGATAAAATTCAGGTTATCACAGAAATGGCACTATTTAGATAGCTGCTTCATATATTGTAAAGTATAATTAATATTTTATTTTGATGCAGGAATTTTCTTAACTATTCACATTAATGGAGCCATGAGTAGACCAGAAAAATGAAATCCACAGAGGATCTGCAGACTTCATTTTCTAACATGTTAGTGTTCTCCCTACAGAACTTATGTTAATGCCAACAAAAGTCAAATATGTTAATAAGCAATAAACCATACACAAGAGAAACCAAGGGCCTCGTAACTTTTAAAGGCAAATTATTTTTAAGTATACTTACATGCTTTTTCCCATCCCTTTTTGTTTTTTTTATACCAGCAAAAGCCGCTGGATAATTTGCCATCTTTAGATAGGAAACCAGTGACCAGGGTGATGGATACTGGTTACTTCTTTACTATTGGGCTTAATCAGATCATTTGCAAAGATAATTACATTGAATACAGCTTGTGAAGTACACCTAACAATTTACTACACTTTGCTCTTCCAGATTTCTAGAGAAATAAATCCATTATATAGTTTCTTGATTTTCCCCTTGGGAAAGTCTTTTAATTCCTTGTTGGTATGATTTACAGCTACTTAATTCTTTTATTAAAGAGTAACCTATTTTTATTCAGCTCTTAAGGGGAAAAAAAATGGAACATTTCTGCCTAGACCATAGTTCTCAACCTTGGCTGCACATTAGAATCACTTAGGGAGCTTAAAAAAAATACAGATGCCTGGATAAATCAGAATCTGGCAGATGAGACCTGGACTTACATATTTTTAAAAGATCTTCCCAGCTTCTTTTATGTGCAAAATAGGTCCTCTACTCAAGGATTCCCTCTGTCCTCTCAGTACAGATGCTTGGGACAGGCAGCTGGGCCATCTGACTTTCCAGTCAACTGATTCTCCACCCTATTAGTAAGAAAAAAATTTTAAATACCAAAGCCCAGATCAAGAAAATACTAACTTTTGTATCCACTGTGTATGTTCCCTTATCTAAAGTTTTTATAGATCAGTGACACTCTACACTACTGTGTAATCTAAAAAGAACCCACTAAATGGGATGCATTTAGATTTCATTTGATTATGGATATTGCACTCTGGGAATTCACACAGAACTTCAGATTAATAAAAAATTATATTAAGAATATGTAGCTGAAATAGTATGTCCTGAGATTTTGCAAGCTTTAGTATTTTCTTTGCTTTTGAAAAAGGATCCAGAATGCTCCCTAAGCATGGAGCTTAAATGCTGCACTCGAGCTTTCTGTCAATGAACTGACACAAATAATTTTTTAAGTTAAATGTCACACTAAAGAAATACGACTCAGTACTAAAATGTGTTCATTAAAGAAGCCTTCAGTCAGATTTGGAATTCAAGTATTGCTATTAAGTTTTTTTTTTAATAAAACGACTGTTGCATACCATCCTCATTCCCACTTAGGTTATGTTTGCTATTCAAACAATTAAACCCTTTGAGCAGTATTGTATATAGATAGACACTACGTCTCGCATAAAAAAATTTCATCCAATAATGATGTGGCACTTTTTTGCATAATTCAAAACGTTAAATGCTTAAATAAAATATATACCGTGCCCTTTTGTTGTACGTACGTTCGAGTTGACTTAAAACTTTTTTCCCCTGGTGGAAAAGAATCCACCCAGAACACCGCCAGCGGCACCAGACACTCCAGTATTTAGGGGGCC